TGATTTAAATAAAATAATTCAAAAAGTTATAGGATATCTTGCAGGCTCTTCTCTAAATAATAAATTTATTGAATGCTGCTTCAATGGACAGTCACTATATCTGGTAATACTTGTCCACTATTCAATGCAAACTATGAAAACGATACCTTTTATCATGTTCTTAGCTTGGAGAACATATACAGACATATAAGCATCAACTATTTTCGTCTGATGTGATGCCATGAATTAAATATGACCTCAAAATATTGTAAATTCAAAATTTCAAGAAAGTTATATGTTTTCTTTGATAATTCAATTGGAAAAAATCGAGCACACCTCTTCACATACTCTATTATATAATAATATTTTAACATTATGTGTAGATTGATAAAATAATATAATTATTTGCATTTTGTCCTCTTTCATTTAAAGATAACACACAAGCTCATTAGTTAGTGCTGTCACAGACACAATTTGTTTTCCCCAATCACGTTTTGATTTATTTGGTAAATTCAGATTCATGTTATAATTTATACAATCATATACATTCTATGAAGTTGCTCTTTGAGCTCATTTAAAAAAGCATATTCATAAAGAATTACATACTGCAAGTTTCTTTTTGTTTATTCTGAGAAAAAAGATTGCATGAAGTTTTAGATTTTTATTTTTAAAATCTTTTTTTCAAAATAATCTATTTCGGAGAATGAAAATCAGGCACGTAGCTACGGTTTTCAAAGAGTGTCCAGAGTCCTTAGAAAAGCTCACACTCAGAAAAAGAGGAAAGCATTGTCTAGACATGCACTACGGGCCTGCAAGTAGTGCTCTAACAATTTCAATTATTTTATTTAAATCAGACATCGATGCAATGCGATACGTTATTTTAATAAATCTGATGTTACAAGTCGTTCGACTTTTGCTGATTTGTCTCTTTGATTAAATCTTGTCGTCTTCGCGAAGTCTTCAAATATGTTATATTGCACTAATTTCTGCGATATTTTATTTTAGCGACTTAATATTTACACATTATTTAAGTGCAACATTTAGGAATTCAACTTAGAAATATCAAAGTGTATAAGGCGTCTAAAACATAGCAGAAAAGTATTATTCATCAAAGAAAGTCGTCATAATTAAATCGAAAAACCTTGAAGTAATTGTATTTGACATTTTTATATCATAATATCGCGTTCTAAAACAACAACACGAGGCGGTTATACGTTTCCGTAGGAATCCGCTCTCAATCCAGTATATTTATTTACTTCTACTATATTTTTTTTTCTAATTTGCAGTTCAGATTAATGCAAGTTTTTAGGTCTATAGATTATGATGATATAAGATATAACATTAAATCATTTTTTAACGTAGCAATAAAGAACCGTCATTGAATCAAAGGATACAATGCCCTGTTCGCACGGAGAGTTTAATTCGAATTAAACGTAAAGTTACTGCGAATTAGCTTCGCTTAGCGTTCAAACGGAGAATTTAATGCGAATGATGCCCTGTTCACACGGAGAGTTTAATTCGAATTAAACGTAAGTTTACTGCAAATTAGCTTCGCTTAGCGTTCACACCGACAATTTAATGCGAATTAGTTTAACTCGAATTAGTTTATGCCCTGTTCACACGGAGATTTTAATTCGCAGTAAATTAATGGGAAGTAAACTAATGCGAATAAAACTAATGCAAATTAAATTGCGTTCACACGACAGCTAATGCGAATTAAAATTTTACTTCTGCAGCCCGGCGTCAGCAGGGCTTTTATGACGTCATTTGCAAATCACGTCATCTTATGTTGAAGCAGATCCATTTGACATAATGGCAAATGTCTGTAATACGGAAACGTATAACCGCCTCGTGTTGTTGTATTAGAACACGATTTGATGATATAAAAATGTTGCCAAATACAATTACTTCAAGGTTTGGCGATTTAATTATGACAACAATCTCTGATGAATAATACTTTTCTGATATATTTTAGACGACTCATACACTTTGATATATCCAAGGTGAATTCCTAAATGTCGCACTAAAATAATGTGTAAAAATTGTGTCGATAAAATTAAATATCGCAGAAATTAGTGCAATATACTATATATGAATATTTCGCTTAGACGACTCGATTTAATCAAAGAGCAAAATTCAACAAAATTTGAACGACATGTAACATAAGATTTATACAAGACACAAGATTTTATCAGTCCAGTTTGGGCCCCTGAAGGAGCAAAAAAAATTTACAAGCAAAAGAAGGAGGAGGATCCAAATTATAGAACATTCATGATAATGTGAGCATTTAATAAAAATGTATGTAAGAGATATACTCAATATACATAAATGTATTGTATATGTTATAATAAAATTATAGTCAAAGGCAAGAAACTTGGAAAAAAGTACATTATACTAGCAAGTGATCTAAGGATGCCAGGGTCTTCATTAGTCATGAGCCAATAAAATTGATTATCATAAGATAAAGACTGAGTATTTTTACATTTAATTTTACGAATATTTATGAGTTCAAGTCTTTGTACATTAAGATGAGGACATACAAGGAGAAAATGAATTTCATCCTTAATATAACGTTATTGCACTGAATTGATGTCTGATTTAAATAAAATAATTCAAATAGTTATAGTATCCTTGCAGGCTCTTCCCTAAAAAATAAATCTCATGAATGTTGCTTCAAAGGACAGTCACTATACATTTGGTAATACTTGTACTATTCAAACTATGATAACGAAATCTTTAATTATGTTCTTAGCTTGGAGAACATATGCAGAAATATATGCATCAAATATTTTTGTCTGATGTGATGTCATGCATTGTTAAATATGACCTCAAACTATTAAAAATTCAAAATTAAAAGAGAAAGTTGTATATTTTCTTTGATAATTCAATTGGAAAAATCGAGCGTACGTCTGCACATACTCTTATGTACTTTTTAACATGATGTGTAGATTGATAAAATGAACGAAATGATTTGCATTTTGTCCTCTTTCTTTCTAAAGATAACACACAGGCTCATTAGTTAGTGCTGTCACAGGCACAATTTTCCCCCCAATCGTGCTTTGATTTATTTGATAAATTCAGGTTTATGTTATAATTTATACAAACATATATTATAAAGTTGTTGTTGTTCTTTGAGAACATTTAAAAAGCAAATATATAAACAATATATAAAAAATTATAACTGTAAAAACTGCTAATTTATTTTTAATTAATTCTGAGAAAAAAAATCATTGTGTCAGTGTTAAATTCTAGATTTTTTTAAAAATTAAATCAATTTCGGAGAATGAAAATCAGGCCCGTAGCTACGGTTTTCAAAGAGTGGCTCGGGTCCTTAAAAAAGCACACACTCATCGATTTAATACAATAGTTATTATTAATAAATCTGATGTTACAAGACGTTCTAATTTTGTTGAATTTTGCTCTTAATTTGATTAAATCGAGTCGTCTAAGCGAAATATTCATATATGTTATTTTGCACTAATTTCTGCGATATTTAATTTTAGCGATATAATTTTTACACATTATTTTAGTGCGACATTTAGGAATTCACCTTGGATATATCAAAGTGTACAAGTCTTCCAAAACATGTCGGAAAAGTATTATTCATCAGAGATTGTTGTCATAATTAAATCGCCAAACCTTGAAGTAATTGTATTTGACAACATTTCTATATCATAATATCGTGTTCTAATACAACAACACGAGGCGGTTATACGTTTCCGTATATGTATAGGCATTTTAATAATTTACAAACTTTTCCTTAGTTTTTCACTCAAAAATAGCATAAAGTACCTATAGGTGACCACTGACAAGTGGCATTTGACTAAATTTTGCCATTACGCATGCGTCAGAATTTAACTCGAATTAGCTTCGCTTAGCGTTCACACGGAGCTAATGCGAAGTAATTTAATGCGCAGTAAACTAATTCGAAGAAAACTAATTCGCATTAAATTCTCCGTGTCAACGCTAAGCGAAGCTAATTCGCAGTAAACTTACGTTTAATTCGAATTAAACTTTCCGTGTGAACAGGGCATTACTGCGCATTAAATTACTTCGCATTAGCTCCGTGTGAACTCCAAGCGAAGCTAATTCGAATTAGATTTTGAGGCATGCGTAATGGCAAAATTAGGTCAAATGCTACATGTCCGTGGTTAAATTGAAGTATTTGTGCTATTTTTGAGTGAAAAACTAAGGAAAATAGTGTTAATCACTAAAATGTGTGTACAGACACTGTAACATTATGTCAAATGCATCTGCTCCTGCATAAGGTGACGTGATTTGCAAATGACGTCATAATAGCAATAATGACGCCTGGCTGTAGAAGTAGATTTTTAATTCGCATTAGTTTACTTCGCATTAGCTGTCGTGTGAACGCAATTTAATTCGCATTAGTTAACTTGCTTATTATTTGCATTTATTGTTAAATACAAAATCAGAGTTAAATTTTATTAAGCATGATTCATAGGCGTCGGAAGCAAATTGAAAGGGGGGGGGGGCTAAATCCCCCCAAAAAACCAATTGTCAATGCATATATTTTGTATATATTTGCAATTAAAAAAAATAAGGGGGGGCTAAAGTGTAAATTTCACAGATTAAAGTGTAAAATTTACACTTTATTTTGTAAAATTTACACTTTAATCTGTAAAATTTACAGATTAATTTTACAATTTATTTATAAAAAGTACAGGTATGATATTTTACGGGGGATGTATTGTTTCTGTATGAAATCGGACTCTATATAGCTAATTCAAGAGAAGGTTTCTCTCCGGAAAATTAAATCTGGTGTGGGATTTCCATAGGAAAAAACTACTATGAAGTAATTTCAGTGGGGAAAAGTTATACAATATGTACAGTACTGTTAATGAAGGTCTAAGCACCAACTGTTCAAAATTTTTAAAGTTAAAATGAAAATAGGCCGGTTTTGTAAAATCAAATAAAAATTACCCGGTATTCATATCTTAACTTTCTAAGAACCTTACAATTCGTGCGATATAAATGGTTAAATGGAATACTTTTCCAATTTACAGCAGTTCGTATTCCCTAAGAAATAAAATGAATGAAAGAGTAGGTGTCAATGACTTGCCTCTTGATGTGTATTGAGGATTGGTCAGTCTGATGTCACCCTCTGGAGTTATCGCTGCATTCAACTCTGTGGTATTTATTTCTGTTTCTCTACAGATTGGCAATTCAGCTGCGAGAAAAAAATATATAAATTCTTCACTCTGTAATAATATATCAGTTTACCTTTGATCAATTGTTCTTAAATTCTAACATTGTATCTTTATTACCTTTTCCTCGTAGGATTGTCGCAGATTTTTTAGTACACTTGAAAGTATATCGTTTATTTTCACTGTAAGTAATGCAGTCCATTTTTGTTCTATCACAGTTCTGCAGGTAATTAAGAGACGATGCATTTTCATTTCTATCACAAATTCTTGTAACCTATAATATTATACGTATAATACTCCAGTGTGTGAAGAAAAAATACATATTATCTCTGATTTTATTTCAACGTCAGTTTTCAATTATAGGTACCTTTTCCATTTTATTTTCACAGAACATCCCCTCGAATCTAAGTGGACAATCACACCTGATATTTCAAACACACCTGCGTTTGAAACAGGCGAATTTAGACCAGCGATGCTAAGCATCTCGGTAACGAATTTCCTCTGTCATACTTGATGTTTGTTGTCACTTAATGTTAGGACTAAAAACGAAGGACGTTTTCATGAGAAAGTCATAACAAATCAAAGCATAGGAATCTTAGAAGCCTTTGAGATTAGCGTGATGCATGTGGATGAACCAATAAAGGAGGACTTGTTTATTTTCGATACGAAACGTGGCAAGTTGCACGGCAATTCCGATCAGAAGAAAGTCATTGACGCATTGTGCTGATGTGTGTTTCTCGCTTCACCACTACACTAAAATTTTAAGTGAGAATGGGAAAGAAAAAAGAAAAGACCTGAGAGTATCCTGTAAAGTATTATGCTATATGCAGTCCGAACAGGGAAGAAAAGTCACGGTGCATTGACCATGTCCAATGATGATGTTGACAGTTTGATTGTTGATAGTATTTTCATCAGGTAATTATTTAACTATTCATTTTACTGAAAGTTATGAATGATCTACTGACTACGGATTTAAAAACGATGAATAAACGGTACAAGGATGTCAGGATGTGACTAATATCCCAACATTGCCAAAAAATAAAAAAAATGCATTCATTCAAGAAATTATGAACAATAAAATCCTTGCATTTTAGGCCTCAGAACAGGTATTCAATTGTTCAAGTTACCTTTTTAAATGAGGTTTCATTTTAATTAATATCTCCTTTTCTAATTAATAAAAAAGAGATACAGATTGTGCATGACAAGAACATTAATTTTCTTGATCAAGCATTTGCATTTCACTAATTCAATCTGTAAATTTTACAATAATTTCATATTGATTCTTCATTCATTATATTGGAAATTTATTCATTTTATTGAGTGAATGAAACTCAGTGCAATTCCTTATGCTATTCAAAAAAAATGCAATTCCTTAAATGTTATTGTAAAAATGAACACATGTGATTTCAGATCATGGGTCATTAATTGGAATAGATAAGAACCAAAAAAAAGTACTTCAGTTTTTCCTTAAAAGATTTGTGCCATCAATCAAAGTAGAGGTCATCCCATATCAGCTCAAGAATATTAAAGAAAGTTGGATGGATCAAGCTAAGATGTTGAACCAGACATGGCAAAATCAATGGAGATTTGGAGAAGAACTTCTGACTTGTTATACCCAATGCATATTTTTATATGTATATAGATTATAGAAGAAAATTTAATGTTCAACAACATCCTATCTAGTATATACATGCTGTTTTCCATATATTTAGAAAAGATGTGTATGCGATGATTGCAGTTCATGCTCTGCTTGTCCATCTTTGAATTTGTTTTCAGTAAAATAAATGTATACATCATAGGTATTAATTGAAGGTTGCTTTTGTCATGTTTGTCTATACTTACATGTAACAAGTTTCTTAAAAGGGTTTGTAAAATTGCAAGGAAATTAATACATGAACAATTAAGATTAATATTTTTATTCATTAAATTTTGTTCTTACCAGGACCTAATATGCTCAGATAAGTATTTCTGAAAACTGACAAGTTTTGTATGTAAAGCTGCAGTGAACATGTATAATTATATATCTACTGTAACAGTTTCATGACACTTGGCAATTGTAAGGTTCTTAATTTAGTAGGAATGATAAGACCAATTTAGTAATCTAATAAAATTAAAAAAATTTCACAAATACATGTAGTTTATTTTAAAATTGTTTACATCTATAATCTTTTAATTTTTTTTTCTGTATTTTGATTTTAAAAAGCAGAAAATTTTGTTATATTTAAATTATTATTTCATGGATATCAAGGAAATATATCTATCACTGTAGCATTGTTTCTTTTTCCCTGTTCTTGACAAATATTTATCATAATGACATTGTTATGTCATTTTGCAGAATTTGCCTTTTCTCTGAAATCAGAAGTACTCTGTAAACTCATTAAAGTATGAATTGATGTCACTTAGAATTCATCTTTATTTTGTTCTGTCTGATATTTCAATTTAGATTCTAAGACTATCTAATCCAATGATTGAGCTAATGTCCATGAAGTGTAGAAATAGGCCATCTTTAAAAAATGTTTGGTTGTCGGCCTCTCCAGACCGACTGACTAAAATGACCAGACTGAAAAATTTTTTTTCAATGCAGGGCAGTATTTTTTTTCTTTTTATTCCTCTTATCCCCTTTAAAAAATGTTGTTGAAGATTTTCTCACCTACTGACCCAATAATTTTACCCTGAGTCAAGAGAGGGCAAACAAACATTACTTTAAAGATAGCATTTCTACTCTTCGAAGTAAAGAAATAATTTAATTATAAAAACAGCAGCTTCGTGGATGCAATGCTTACAACATTTCACTCAAAAAATGGCATACATGTATAATGACAGTCACCAACCATAACTGAATAAAAATATTTTGCTACAAAGATGTCTAGAAGTTACTACATGTTGGAATAACTAATCAGCATGAGGTCAAATTCATAGGCTTTTAATTGGTTTAGTTGCAACATGTTCTGATGTATGTTTATATACATATACATGTACTTCTAAAGGTGTTGCAATATAATTCATGGACAATTTCATCAAAATATTCAGATGTAAAGATTGCCATAAATACTAGAGTTCTTCCATGGAATAATTTTTTAGGCCATCATGTAGCACAGGAGGCGTTTTATTTTGAATATTTTTGGCCAATTTATGCCTAAAAACAATATCAAAAATAACATTTAGTCTTTAACATTCACCATGACAAGGTGATATCAATGTTGTCTTTAAAAGTGTAGAAAAAGCCTGATTTTTATGTTCCGAACCCATAATATAGCCCCTGTTTCCATGGAAATAATATTGGGGACATACATATTTTTTTAGTTCAAATTAATGAAAATGATCAAATTAATAACTTCATGGATTTTGATGGAATTGGTAGATATGTAAAACGTTGGTTTTTATATTTTTGTTGCCATGGCAACGGTTTCACTTTATCAAGGAAAATTGAAAAATCTTCTTTTTTACCCAAATTTTCACATTTTTGATAAAGGAAAATTAAAAGTTTAAATATTAGAAGCATGAATTATACTAATTCCGGTCATTTTGATTATAAAAGTTTGAAAATTTATTAAAAAAATCAATTTTTTCAATGAAAATAATATTCGAGGTGAAATGTGAAATACGTTAAATTTGGCGTCTTTTACTCAAAAAATGAGACGGGCAATATCTTTGAAAATCATATTGAATGATGAAGCTAATCTCCCTGAAAAAATTGATATATAGCATGTATGCATATTAAAAAAAATATGAGTTGGAGGGAGACGCAAACCTTACCTTAAATCTGTACACTTTCAAAGGGTCTTTCATTTCCCTGAACTTATCAATAATAGATCATCAAAGGAAGGTAACTTATCTCTCAACTCCAGAGCCTACCATTAGACACAATGTGGTTATGGAAACACTCTGTTACTTTGTATGAAATCCTTTCACACCTACCTCACAAAGTGGATGGTCAATCTCTGATTGACCTGACATTACATCAAACAGCGCACTGGACACCTGAAAGGAATTGTCATTAAATTAGCTCAAATGTGGAGAGTATATTCGTATATTTACATTTCCAATGTCTTTGATAAAAGATAAAATTACAAAATGTAAATGTATTTTATTTCTACATAAAATTCACTGGTTCATCGATAGGCATCGTTAAACAAGAGGCCCATGGGCCACATCGCTCACCTGAGCACTAAGGGTAGAAAAAAGTAGAAAATGGCTTTCTATTGTAAAGTTTAAATCCAAAAGTAGTCCCATGACCAATCATGGATTTGCTATTTTTAGAAAATGATTTTTAAAGAATTTTCCTATATATATCTTTAAAAGCCATTTTGACCCCGCCCTACCCCTGGGGGTCATGATTTGAACAAATTTGAATCTACACTACTTGACCATGCTTCCATATTTTAAATATGATGAATTATGGCTTTGTCATTCTTGAGAAGAAGATGTTTAAAGATATTTCCTCTTTCTATGTAAAACTTTGGTCGGCCATTTTGGCCCCGCCCTACCCCCAGGGGTCATGATTTGAACAAACTTGAATCTACACTACCTGAGCATGCTCCCATATAAATATGATGAATTATGGCTTTGTCATTCTTGAGAAGAAGATTTTTAAAGAATTTTCCTATATATTTCTATGTTAAACTTTGGTCGGCCATTTTGGCCCCGCCCTACCCCAGGGGGTCATGATTTGAACAAACTTGAAACTACGTACACTACCTGAGCATGCTTCCATATATATATGATGAATTATGGCTTTGTCATTCTTGAGAAGAAGATTTTTAAAGAATTTTCCAATATATTTCAATGTAAAACTTTGGTCGGCCATTTTGGCCCCGCCCTACCCCCGGGGGTCATGATTTGAACAAACTTGAAACTACACTACCTGAACATGCTTCCATATAAATATGATGAATTATGGCTTTGTCATTCTTGAGAAGAAGATTTTTAAAGAATTTTTCCTATATATTTCTATGTAAAACTTTGGTCGGCCATTTTGGCCCCGCACTACCCCCGGGGGACATGATTTTAACAAACTTGAATCTACACTACCTGAGTATGCTCCCATATAAATATGATGAAATATGGCTTTGTCATTCTTGAGAAGAAGATTTTTAAAGAACTTTCCTATATATTTCTATGTAAAACTTTGGTCGGCCATTTTGGCCCCGCCCTACCCCCGGGGGACATGATTTTAACAAACTTGAATCTACACTACCTGAGTATGCTCCCATATAAATATGATGAATTATGGCTTTGTCATTCTTGAGAAGAAGATTTTTAAAGAATTTTCCTATATATTTCTATGTAAAACTTTGGTCCGCTATTTTGGCCCCGCCCTACCCCCGGGGGTCATGATTTGAACAAACTTGAATCTACACTACCTAAGGATGTTTCCCCATAAGTTTCATCTTTCCTGGCACAGTCGTTCTTGAGAAGAAGATTTTTAAAATATGTCACCAAATTTTCATTAATTCCCAATTATCTCCCCTTGAATGCGGGCGTGGCCCTTCATTTGAACAAACTTGAATCCCCTTCACCCAAGGATACTTTGTACCAAGTTTAGTTGAAATTGGCCCAGCGGTTCTTGAGAAGAAGTCGAAAATGTGAAAAGTTTACAGACAGACAGACAGACGGACAGACGGACAGACGGACAGACGGACAGACGGACGCCGGACAAAATGTGATCAGAAAAGCTCACTTGAGCCTTCGGCTCAGGTGAGCTAAAAAACAAATCATGTGTGGGGCAGGAAAAAATAGAGACAGAAGTGGGGTTTAGAGCACTTGGATTGGCAGAATCAAGAACATGTAAATATAAGGAATATCTGTCAGATTTTTTGGTTTCATGACGATGATCAATCATTTTGATTGCTTGATAATTTTATGCAAAAATGCCTTCAGCGCTTTATGCAAATTATCAAGCAATTCATTGGATTGATCACATCATGAAACCAAAAAATTAGACAGTTATTCTTTAAGTACATGCAGTTGAAAAGCCCAATAAATATCTCTATAAGATCATTTCTTACTTACACGTATTCTATGACTAAGATTGTCCATGTTCCCAGGACTTGTTTCCCCCAAAAGGAGGAAATCACCCGCATCCTCATCCTGTTGTGGTGTACTGTAAAAAAAGATAAATATTATAAATATTCTTTCCCATTTGAAGCAAGTAAGCTTTGTTCTCTTTAATAAATTCTTTCTGGTAAGTTGAATGCTATACCTTGTTATGTCTCTTTTTGAAAAGTTTTCATCTACTTTAACTTCTTCCTACAAGGCAAATATCAAGCATATTAATTGTGGCTACTAATAATTGTCTCTATAGACCAATAAACTCACTTGCCTTGAATTATCTGCCATCAGACAAAAAAGCTAAACAGGCGAGCGTATTGGCCTATAGAGATGATTATTAAGGGCTGAGAGGTAAATAAAATGAGATTGAATAAAAAATGTGTCAAGAATTAGGGAGTGAGAGGTCCTTGATTAACAGATCCTGGAAAGTGGAGAAATTTTCCCCAACACTGCACAAAAAATCTTGCAATGTAAATTGCACTTCATTTCCTTACAGGACCTGTAGAGTTATGGTCACATAAAATCATGATGCTATAGTTCTGCAGCTACTACCCACTTAAATTTGGAATATTACTGGAAACACATAATTTTTTATTTGGTTTAAAAAATTATCAACAATGGAGGTATGAACTATATTTTTCTAAAATTTGTTTACTTTTAGCTTTCTAAACTGTCTATAATAACTAAAATGATGAGACACAGTAATCAGAAAAAAGTATACCGATACAGGTTTTGTGATAATATCCAGCTCATCTTCATTGGTATGCACAGCAGTGAAAGGTGCTTAAAAAAACATGAATAACTACAATTAATTCTATCAGTAAAAGAAAATATTTAGAGGCTTTGTTCTAAAAACTTAGACTTAAAGATACAAGGTTAAAAACAATGAGAAATGCACCTGGATTACAAATTTGAAATCTGAATCCCCCCTAAATACACATGTATTTATATTCTTCACAGTCACATGGGGTTGGGAGTAAACAAGGAATCATTCCTCCTTCAATTTATTTCATCCCTTATTTCATTCCTAATTTTTTGTTATATTTACATTTTTATTTGTTTTTTCTGTGATAACTCTTTGAAAGTTAGGCAACTTGATTTCTCAATGATTCAACTGAAATGTACATTTCACCAAGCAAAAGGTCAGAAGCTAAGGAGGCCTGCTAAGCATGTAAATTAATCTGGTACAGCTATCTGTGTCTGAATTCAGAGAGTGGGGACTGTTGAAATTGACATGGGAGGCCTAGTGTAATTCAAATCTGTTAGACGGCATTTTTAAATCTATATTTACAAATTTATTTCACAATTAAATGTAAATATGAGGAATCATCTCTAGTTGTGTTATGTATGCCAGGGAAATCAATGACAATACTATCTGGTGATTCCTTAAACCCATAACACAAACTTTTTGATAAGAAATTGATTTTTCTCACTTTAAAATACAGTTTTGTTGATTGTTTCTGAAGCTGAACTGGTGTTTCTTTCATCAGCAAATTATCAAAATGTATAAAATGAATTTTTTTTTTTAGATATAAATATTTTTTTTTCTTATTCGATAACTAAAATATTATCATAATGATATTTGAACCGGTACCTCGAATTACCGAAATGCCCCTGATTTACCGAAATGCCCCTGGAAATTACCGAAATGCCCCCTAAAACTACCAAAATGCCCCTTTAAAACTTAAATACGTTGGTTTTTATGAAAGATAGTGAGTTAATTATACATATTTTCAAAAAATCGAATTAAAAAAACATTTACAAATGTATTTTTTTCTTTCAAAAGGTTCGTTTATCTAATATCTAAGAGAGATAACTCTAGTAGTATTTGTATTCATATTACATGAGTAGCCTGCAGAAATATTTTTTTCTTGATGATGTCGATTTACATGCTGAATAATTTGAATTAATTAATTTAAAATTTTTAAGTTTAATATGCTATAGATTTGTTTATTTGGTTATAAATTTTACAACTCTGAACCCCAGGGGTTTACGTAGTCTCCCACTGCGTACCGTTATCCATTAAAAAATTTGCCGAGATTGCTATGAGAAAGAATACGAATTTTCAAAGCACTGGAGAGGTAAGTTTTTTTTATTTTGTAGTTGGTAGTAAGCCCTAAATATGTATAAAAACAAATAATTATTTTTAGCAGTTTGATTTTCCGTAATCTGCTTCTAATTCTTCTCTTAAAGCGATCAGACGAAATGATCATGATGATGGTTGATTTTATTTATTTGTAATCAACATTTTGATCAAAAGATAAGTACAAAATAATTTAAATCAATATGATATCTTACATTAGCCATGAGCTCCAATTACTGTGTAGGACCAGTATTCAGACGTGCCGTAATTATTCTTAAGCATAATTGCATTTTTAAAAAAATATTTTTTACCTATAGAACTCTGCATGCTCGCTTAACATGAAATTGGAATAATTAATATTTCTTGTATTACGATGAACCTATCTTCAATATTGTTGACAAATTTAGTAATATGATTATTGATACTTCAAATTCCGAGTTTTGTTATTTTTATGTAAAATTAAATATATTTCAGGATTTAGAGTGCTCTTTACTCCGACCCAAAGGACTTACCAATGGCAGTTTCATCAGAATCCTATCTGCTAGAGACGTACGGAGAAAACTAATTATCAGGGTCGAAAACCTGACTAATGATACCGGCGAACATTCTTAATACTTCTTTTACCAATTTGTCAAGGATGTTTGTTTTTTTTTTTTTTTTATACAATTTTCATTAGAAAAATAAAAGTATATAAAAGTATTAAAATTGTTATAACTCACCTTTTCCGTAGCACAATATTAATATTTTATCACAGTCAGTAGTTAAGTTTGTAGTTTCCTGTATACTTTGGCCGACCTTGTCTACTGCTTTTTATTTATTTACAGCTTGTGATTACCCAGAAGTGGAATTTTAAAAATCTCTCTTTTTTAACATTGCGTTTTGTATACTTATATGAGATGTAAATAAAACTGTGTATACTTACTTGTATTTCTGCCATGTTTCAACTTCTTCTTTTTAAATATTTAACAAGACATGCAGTATAAAATTTGTTCAACAAAATAAAGGAGAGCGGGAGAGAGAGAAAGAGAGAGAGATCATAAAATAACGGACAGTAAATGCTTCCCGCTGACACAATGTTGCAAGAGTTATCGCTCTTAGAGGTCACAATATTTTAGCCAGTTAAATATTTTTTAACATTTGTGTTCAAAATGCACAGTTTTGTTAGTAATATTTATCATAAATTAACATAAAATGACTATAAGAATATAATTCAAGGGGCATTTCGGTAGTTTTATGGGGCATTTCGGTAATTCCCTGGGGCATTTCGGTAAATCAGGGGCATTTCGGTAATTCGGGTTAGTTTTTACGAAGACAATGAAATTTTTCCTAGACTGAAAGTCTGTTTCATTTTCTTACAACTTGTTAAAAGTTTGACAAATAGAGAAAATTGGTCGAAAGAAAGTTGTGTCGTGAAAAATGAGATAATTTAAAGCACAATATTAATATAGCTGGCCATTTTAACTGATGAAGAAACATTAGTAATTCAATATGAGAAAAAAAATGCTGTCAATATTGATGCAGTGTTCTTTAAATTACGATCATAATTTAATTATAATCTCCCTTCTAGACAGTTCATAACAAAGTTTTATTATCCTGAAGAATCTAAGTTATCAATTACATAGAGTAGAAAATAGTGATTTTAACCTCTTATGTTCCCCTACTCAGCTCTGATCCCATACTTTCAAAATCAAAACAAAAGCATGTTATTAATTAAATCAGGGGCTTGTTCAACGACTGCTTCTGCATGCAAAAGTTGTATTATGGGAGTAATGAGTGTTTTCTGGCGATCGTTTGTGACAATTATTTCTACATTTTTAGTCTTCATGAAAATTCATGAACATTCATTACCTTGAACTATTAAGGTTTTTTCTTTAAACTGAAAATTACCAATATTCATATTTGTTCATCATTTGTTCATGAACTATGAATTATGAATGTTTTCATGAATTTTATTCATGAACTACTTTTATGAACCTGTTAAGAATCCTTTAAGAACCATTCATGAACAATTATGAACAACTCATAAAGGTTCTTAAAATCATGAATATCATTTCGCAGGGGTGGATATGCTTTCTCTAAGGTCTATATATCGAGGGATTGTACCGAATCAAAAGGCTACAATTGTTTTATTATTTTTTATCAGTAAATAAGAAATGTATTTAAATCCTTCTTTCTAATACTTCGGTACCTTCTCATACAAGGCATTGTTATGTCATTTGCATTATGACGTCACAGTAATGAAAACCAGCTGCAGTATCTGTTTTTAGAAACATCCAGGTTATAAAGACTATTGTGATCAGCACTATTGTTGCTTCACAGAAAAACGTTTCCAATTTTAGAAACAGCAGGTTTATAATTTTTTAACATAGAAACATCCAGTCTGTAAGAACTTTTATGCTTGATCATGTGATCCAGTTTGAGCCAGTCAGATAGTTGGAACAATAAAGAAAAATAATAATTATATATATCCAAGACTATTTAAAAATATTATGATTCTTAAAAGTCCGATTTTAATGGAAAACATCGTCTAACCCCCCCCCCCCACCCCATATTTCAATAGCTGGAAATAGGAATTATTTGCTAATTAGCGATGGTATTGAAATAATTAATCAATTACTATTAAATTGTACTTTGTATAAAGAATTTAGGGCTAAATTGCCATTAGTTATTGAATTAAATGGGTGCAAAATGTAGGCGGGAATCAGGATTAGGTTTTTTTTTGTTTGAATGGAACGTTTGGTGCTGTCTTTAGAACGCTTACTGTCATGGTACATCCATAAATTTAGAGAGGATTGATTGATTGTATGTTGTTTAAAGTTTTAATAAAGGTCAACATGTCCAAATACTTTTACAATAGCTCCAACACAATGTGGCTTAAAAAGTTAAAACTTTTTTAAAGGTTATAAATATATAATTGATTAACAGATAGAAAGTATCACTTGATATCAAATTCTTAAAAATATTTATCGAAAAAAATTGTTTGAAAAAATACATACATTTTAACAATTTCACTTATTATTCCGTACTTTAGTGAAAGCCGTTATTGCAGAAAAAATTCAATATGTGATTATCAATGAAGGGCTAGTTGGACTACGATAGCCTCTGAAAAGTTGTTTACCCTGTTTATTTTGTCCTAGTGTTAAGATTTGAACCCCCCAAAAACATTGCAACTGGCTAATTTTATAGGGGTCTTGTCTTTATAAGTGTCATGCTTTCAATAACAGCCTTTCAGAAACCATTCACGCCCAACTTGCTTTCATTGATAAACATAATATTATTTCTGCAATTATCTGATTATGGTTTCCACTAAAAGTACAGAATTAAGAAGATGCACTTTCTTTTAAATATGCAAATTCCTCGATATATGTTTTTTTCTCAAAATTAAATATATATATATATATATATATATATATATATATATATATATATATATATATATATATATATATATATATATATATATATATATGTGTGTGTGTGTGTGTGTGTGTGTGTGTGTGTGTGTGTGTGTTTTAATATTTGTTGTCAAGTGATACTCTCTATCTGTTAATCAATTATATATTTATAAATTGTAAAATTTTTACATTATTAATCACATAGTTTAGGAGGTATTGTAAAAGTAAATTTTTAGACATCCTGACCTTCGGCAAAACCTTAACGTCCCTCTCGAGAATTTTTCACTCATATATAGACGCCACCACTTGCCGATGGAGAGCTGAAAATTTTTGTCTTTTACTCGGCACTTAGAACCATTGAGCAGTGAGGGATCTTTTTCGTGCCAACAATTACTTTGACACGGGAATCATTCATTACTACGAGTGTGGGATAGTGAAATTCCACCGAGGGGAAAAGATTCACAGTCTAGGACAAGGCTTTGCCGAGTCCTAGACCGTGAATCTTGGCCCTAGGGTGGAATTTCACTATTTAACTATCCCACACGAGTATGTAATGATGATTCTTTTTCTCGCATTATTTTATCTAAAATAACGGTCTGTCAATGACGTCGCCAAAAGGCAAAAAATATATATTTTTTTAACTTTACATCTAATTAAAAATCTGAATATAACATCGGAAAAAGCGTAGCTAAAATGGTTTACACATAGTTTAAACTGATAAAATGAATTTCGGGCCATATAAAGTAATTTGATAGATAAAAACTGGGGAAAAACATGTCTGTCTATGACATGCCAAATTCACAAAAATGAGCTAAATATAGTTTCACAGTCGATAAACTAGGTTTATCGGTTTTAAAATATAGTTTACGAACTGTAAACTTTATTTAACAACATTAATCTATATTTTACATCTGTAAACCATATTTGCGCTTGCAAAACATATATTATCTGATAAATACAGTTTCACGATTTGTAAACTATGGTTTACAATTTAACTATAGTAAAGGTAAGAATCTTCTTACATTTCTTGTATTTAAAAATTAATGTAATTTTCATAGAATCAAGAGGACAATATTACTAAGTGATGGTATCAGTGATATTAAATTTGACCGTTTAATATTAGAGGCAAGGTCAGGTCAAGGTCATTACCTTTTTCCTGGACATTAAGAATAAAAAAATTTTGTTTCCAATCATGCGATCCCTACTTGTAATTCAAAAGATTGAATGTTTTTCCTTTTACATAAAAAGATACTACCATATAGGGCCTATAAGCTGATAATACCAAATTGACATGGATAAATTAAATAAAATAGATATTTGCTAATCTGAATTTCCTCTACTTTTGTTAATTTTTTAGAATTTATTAGTTATTTATATATGCTTCCTATTTTTAACTTTTTCTAATTTTCACATATAGTAAAGTTGTCACATAAAGGTACAAAATGACACAAAATCTTAAAGTTTTGATAGTTTACTAAGAGAGAAATAACACTTTTTACGGGTTTTTGGGTCAAATCTGTACTTAGATTTGAAGGATTTTAAAGCCAACATAGTTCTAGTATGCGTGAAAAATCTTATTTATTTGATATATTTTGAAACTGTAGTCCCTCATTAGTAATTTAACTTACATTTGAAAATTTCGTCTAGTCTTTGATTGCGTAAAACTTATAACTTAATTCAATGTTATATAATAATTTTGAGAGGCAGAAAAGAAGATATGTTCATACGCCACCATTCTGCCAAAATATAGTCCCTGCTAGTTTTCAAACGCAGTTTACCATTTCTATTTCAAGTTGTATAATTGTGATGAGGAAAGAAAAATATGGTCTTTTCAATCTCTTACATCTAAATATATAAGACATATCAACAAATATACTTTGAATATTCCATCTAGTCAGAAACCAGAGAAGAATCCTACCTTAACTATAGTTCACGATTGTAAATTATAATTTATTTTAATTATAAATCTATGTTAATTAACAAAATATATTGTTAACGTTTTATTACAGACAGATAAACTTAGATTAGCATTCATAAACTATAGTTAACAACCGTTACATATAGCTTTACAGATGAAAACTACAGTCAACGAATTGTTAACTATAGTTCACGATTTGTAAACAATAGGTTACAGTCGATAAACCTAGTTTATGTTTAGCTCATATTTGGGAATTTGGCGTTCCATATCTATCCGATAGCGTACAAATTCATTTTAGAAGACTCCTTACGCGATCTAAACATAGTGCCACTTAAAAAGTGAAAATATGACAATATTTACAATTTTATGAAATCAAGTTTATCGTAACAAGTTAAGGTATGTCACTCCTGAATTTTTTTAAATCAAGGATTTTTTGAGAAGTATATTTTGGATAAGTACTCATAAAGTGTAACTCAAAATCGCAAAGAAAATAGGGGGTCAGTGTGCATCCTACTGATCTTCGATACATTTAAGTTGACCTTTTTGCACTTAAATTTCATCTCTTTGGTTAATTACTTTATTATTATATTTTATCAGATGTAAGCATGGCAATAAATATAATCTTATTTTACGTAAAATAGTTTGAATAATATTTATCATTAAACGAATCTTGTAAATTAATGCGGTTAAATTATTGTGTGACCTTTTTGCACTAAAAAATAACATATTTAGGGTATTAAAAAATGTAATAGGCAATAAAAAATTTTCTTATATCAAACTTTTTACGACTTAAGTGCTGATCAGTTACAAGTATCGAGTAGTTTAAAATAATGAAACAAAAAGGTGGGGTCAGTGATGTTAATTTTGAAATATTTGTCAAATTATGTGATTTTTAGGCAAAAAATGGTGTAAATTTGATCTTAACTTCTTTAATATTTTTTTCATTTTTTGGAAAAGTTTGTTCAGGGAAGGTGTAAAACTTAGTCTAAAAATATAAATTAAGACCTCTATTAAATATTTTAGCAATATCAAAACGGAAAATATTCTCCGAGTAAAATTATGTGAGGCTAAATTTCCATTACATTAAATTTTATAAATGTGCAGATTTGCAGAATTTTCTGCTAAATATACATTGTTGAATTTAAATATGTTATAAAAATTGAATTTTAATAAGTAGTTTTGAAGTAAAAGCTTCTGCGTAAACTTTTCTAAAAAGCTGACGAGTGACATACCTTAAATAACAAAATTGTCATATGACAACCAACGTTTTAAAAAGAGCCTAAAACATTTCATAGAAACGAAAAAATTACCACTTCAATGCAACTTCATTGTAGCAAATGACTAAATTTCATCGTGGACCTAATGGTATTCTGAATTAACTTACAACTTGAAGATGTGAAATAACTTACATCTCAATAATCTAACATTGTCTGACTTCACTTCACCAGGACAAGAGGAATGATCATGATACATTGCTTCCCATACATTGTGAAAGGAGCATACACATTCTGGTTTAATGGAAACACCTGTGTTGCCACAACGTAAAGCTTTGCTACCTGGAAAAACAGCAATATAAGTATGTTGAATGATAGAACAATGCATGTGATTTTTCAAAAGAGATATATAATTTTTTCTCATTTGATGCCTTCTCCCCTGAAATTAATTTTTCCTTGTATTATTTTAGCTTTATTATGTATACCCCTCTCTCGAAAATTATGAAGAGTATGTAGTGATCGTTATGTCCATCCGTCCGTCTGTTACGCTTTGGGGTATACATACCCATCTCGTATCCGCAACTCCTTTTATACAACTGAATAAGATTAAATGAATCTTTCACAGAATATCATTGTGCCATTGTGCACTCTCCATTTAACTTTTTTATTGGGCACATATTTTGGATTTCCCATTACAAAACATGGACATTCCCATTCTTTCTACAATACGAGTATTGAAGGGTACTCATCTCTTATCCACAACTCTCCCTCTGCCATTGATAAATTAAACTGAATGATACTTTCACAGATTCTTTATTGCATAATGTCATTGTGCATCTCCAATATACTTTTTGATCTGACACGGGTCTCCCAGAGCAAAACATGGACTTCGACGTTATAATCATATGGGAGGCTGGGGTATCATTTAGTGAGCTCAGTGCTCACAATACCCTTAGTTGTTTAAAGCTGAAATAATTACTTGAATTCCTTATTTGGCACATTTCCTTGTTTCTGCTTTTCAAAAACTCCGGTACCCCTATAAAAGATATGACATACAAACATAAAGACATACAAACACAATGTCTATGATTTGTCATTGTGTAATTCTTAAAGAAAAAAATATCTGATCGTTAAAAAAAAGCTTGATTTTTTAAATTATTATCTATTTTTTAAATCAAAATCACTATTCTATGTTCATTTAAAAAGAAAAGGAACACGCGGTATAAAACTGAACATGCATCTGTCGACATGTATACTAGTAATATATAAATGGTGCCTGTTTTGGAGGGTAACAGTTGAAATTGACACCCCAAGGAAAACCATTGTCAACCGACGCGTCAGGTTTTCCGAGGGGTGTCAATCTCAACTGTTACCCTCCAAAACAGGCACCATTTATTTTATTATACAGAATGTCTTCTTGATTTACTATGTCAGCAATACAAATCGTTGATCGCCTTTGCGTTCACGTTTAGAAAACTTTCAAACTCCCCGCTACTTCGAAAAAGATTTACTGACCTCTTTATTGTTTATTTGATACTCTACGAGTCCTTTATCATCTAAAGTTTCGTTATTTCTGCACTCGCAAGCATGTTTCGTCTGTCGTTTGTTGTTTTCAAGTAAGCTACATCGGACGCAAGCTTTTATTGACGTCAAGTTTATTTCGGTTCTTTCAAACGCGCAACTGACGTTTTGAGAATTCTACGGTGAACCGTACACGCATAATTTCCACGCATTTGGCATTACCGTTGTGTTACCCGTTGTCACGTGTGTTACTAAGGCTGAGGGTAATAAAACAGATTGTTAACTGCGTCTAAACCAATCAGATTTTAGTATTTAACATGAAAGTATAATAATAAATTTTGTCTACTCCAGAAAAATATAGAAGCACTCACTGTGTGGATATTTAAGTCCTTGTTTGTCCTGGATAATCATACACTGACGAGGCTCGTCTGAAATCATATAGAGCAAGTCTTTCACGAAAAGAATAATGTATATGTTACAGTAAATATGTGTAATCAGGAATTTCATGTATTTCCTGAATTCTAGGAAATACATGAAATGAATACACGTATTTACTAATTTCAGTTAGGAAATACACGTATTTACTGAACTTTTCAATACTTTTTACACATATTTTACTGACTGTATTTTGGTGGGATAATTTAAAATATAAATCATAAAATATAAACAGATGAACAGTGCATTCAATGTTGATATCAGTTAGCATACATGTAATTATCATACGTGAATAAATAATATTTGAAATAAACTTTTAATTACTTATGAATTTTAAAAATTGCATTATTTGTAAATATTAACCAAAAAACTTAACGATATTCTGCTTTCAATTTCTGGAATGTGTTTTCTATATCACAACATACTTTCACTAACTTTCAGTTATTTAATCTAAAAAACTAAAATCGCTTACTGGCATTTCTTTTTTTTTTTAAATTAGATATTCATAAAATGCTACATGTATTGAGAGTAAATTAAAAAACCTAAAGCATCTTGTTTGCAAATAAAACAATTCTTACGCGGTCTCCTCAAAAACTGCAAAAAAAAAAAAAATCAAGTAAAATTCACATTATTTAACGATATTGAAGTCAGTAATTCAAGATGAAACTTTATTAAAAGAGATTTTCCACCCTCATATTTTAATAGTTCAAAATAGAAAAAAAACCATTTATTTTTGCTTAATAAGTTTGAATTAACTAATATTTTCAAATCATATCTCGTATGTTACCATAATTTTAAAGATGCAAGACTCAAATAAACAGCAGTACCGAGTATATCAACATTTAAAAATCGTATATTTTTTTTTTTATAAATTTTAAAATAAAAATTATGTAAAAACTAGTACAAATACATCATTCTAATGTAAAAGCTCCAAATTAATAACTTTTTTACAAATATATGTGAATATCAGGGAATCCATTTAACATTAGCAGTACAAAAAAGAATTCAAACTTAATGCATAACGTCAGATTTGTAAACAGTTCTTATCAATTAAATGCTGTTTAAAAAAAAAAAAATAGTATTTGTATACTTACCAAATGTTTTAAAGGATATGTATATTCATCCAGCTTAGTTCAGTAAAAAAGTGTAAATTTTGCTAAATTTTTCAGTAAATACATGAATTTCCTAGCAATTCAGAAATTACACGTATTTCCTAAAATGGCCAGTAAATACATGTATTTACTGAATGGTTTAGGAAATACATGAAATTCCTGATTTCACATATTTACTGTAACATATACATGTAGTTTTCATTATCAAGGGTTTTTGATAAATGTATAGACATTTGCACTTGAAGAGGAAGTAAAAGAATATGTTCCAGATCAGTTTAATGTGTCTTTAGAAGATGCAAATAAAACAAGGCTTTGTCCCTACCGATTTGACGGCTCATTGTTACTTACATGTATGATATATAATGACCTAATAAGTTGAAGAAAATTCAAAGACATATATAAAATACGTGTGTGATTTAAAACTGCGATAATTTAAACATGTCTTTCTTATCAATACTGTACATGTACAAGTAATTTTAAATTGAATATTACATTAAATCAAAATAATTAAGTACGATTACTTTTATTAGAAATTATAAAACGCAGATCTCTGCTTAACACAAGAACTTTCTTTTGTGATCATTATTATTGTCTTTAAAAAGTAGATAGTCATGACATTCTACTTCTTAAAGCGACTTTAAAAATAAAATGTAAGACTTAGTAAAGAAACTTACCATTTTGTTTCATGGAAAAGGATGAAATGTTATGTAGCAAGAAGTACAACAGCACTTTCTTTCTTAACATGATTTCTAGTCAAAAACACAAGATGCCAATTAAGAACCCGCAAAGAAGATTTTGAAAGCTGTATGTATTGTTTATTACCAAGAACCATACAGTTTGTAGGTTAATAATATTAATTTATACTCAAACGTTTCAAATGCTTCTTTAGAAAGGTTCACGATGGGTAAAACCAGTAGTGATTAAAAGATGAGTGGACAAAAACAAAGAAATATGTAACTGCAAAAATTTAACACATTAACACTGCATACACACTTGCCGATAAAATTTTTCGCGTTCAGTCAAGTTGCAATTACTACAATATTTGATAGGAAATTGAAGATTTGAACTAAACAGTTTCAGACAATTAAGCAGCTATGCTAAGCTACATGTACCTCTGATTATAAATATTCACTTCGAGCTCAGAAAATTTTGAACTTTTAATCACTGCTTGTAAGAAATTTGTTTTAATCTTTGTCTTATTTTTACCTTCATGTAACATTACTAAATTCATTTGAAAGTTTGATACATTGTAATCTTTGAATGCAAAAGATATAACTGTTGTCCCCTTTCGTACTCCATGATTGGAACAAGGAATGCACCTCTGAAATTTAAAAGCCCAATCACCAATTGTTCCAATGTTAAAGCCAAGGTTTTATTTTGCAAAATGTTGCAAAATGACTCCAAAGTCAAGTTCAAAAGGTTAAAATGATGGTACCTATGTAAAAGTCCTGCCACCAGGAATGAACATGTAAACGCTGCACTTCCAACCAATTGAACATTATGGGCGAGGGTATGTTTTTTGCGGACAAACAGACAGACGAATGGTCAGAGCAAAACTTTTAAACCCCGAATCTTTTGTTTCAGGAACATGAAAACCCTATTTTCCAGAACTCCTCATATTTTACACAAAACCCAATTATCTTCTAAAAGATATTTGATGGTGCCCTTTGGTTTAGCAAAATGTTTCTGAATGACGGTTTTATACCCCCGTAATCGAGGATTCGGGGCATATGGTTTTTCCCTGACCTTCTGTCTGTTTATTTGTTAGATATTTTTTTTTTGTATAAAAAACGTAATTTTCCCCAAAACCTTTGGATGGTTGTTAATTGGACATTCATATATGTCTATTCCTTGCGACAAGATCTTTCTTAGGGTGCCAGAATATTTGATCTTTTTATTTCGACTCGGAGTTTAACCGCCTTTTATTAGTTTGTTGTCTAACGTCTCTCTCGAAAATTTTTACTCACCGCTTTTAAATACGCCACCACTTGCCAGTGGAGAGCTACAAATTTTGATCTATACTAGGCACTCAGCGTCATTGGGCATTGATTTATCTTTTTTCGTGCAAGCATCTACTGCGACATGAGACCTCGCTTATTACGGTCTCTTCAGAAAGACCGACCTCCATGAAACAGTTGGATTTGCACCAATGGTGTTAGGATTTGACCTTTGGCAATTTTTTTAACCTTGGCCTTACTTAAGCACAGTAAGAGTTAAGGCTTTTATATTTCACATATGTTTTCCGTGTAAGCGAATTTTTCTTAGGGTTTTTGAACTTTACGTTGAAGATTGATATTCTTTTGAAAAAAAATTACATTGGCCGTAACGTTTGACCGCTTTGAGCTAAGACTCATTTTTCACTTATTTTTCTTGTGATAAGATCTCTCCTTTGGTACCAGTAAATTTTGATCTAATGACATTGGTGTTAACGAAGGACTTTGTTTTGAAGATTGTTAGTCTTGACCTTAATTATACCCCCCCCCCCCCGCTTGAAAAGCGGG